GTCATAAAGCTGGAATATTGCTGAGTGCGGCGTAAAACAACAAATCAACCAACCAAATCATATGGTATTAATTCGACCTGTCTCAAATACTTTCTGTGACTATTAAGAAAGTCCTTCCTTGAAGGTATTAAGGATAATGGTTAATCGTTGAGACAGGGATTTGGTGGTACAGTTGCTTGGAGTTGCTTTGGAGTCAAGCCAAAAGTTGATGGCACTGATGTTTGGGCAGATTTCTTCCTCAGTTAACATACTAACTTTATATGTGGCATTATTTGATCTATCACTTATACCAAGTTTTTTTTATCAAACAATTAATGAAGTGATAGTATAAGAGGTCTTGTCAGTAGGAACAACTACAAACTTTTCATGTTGAACAGCCAGAAGGTTTCCCCTTTTTCAGTTTGTGCATTCTACCAATGACAACACCACGCACTGACTTAAACCCACTCTGAAAGAAAATCAACAGGTTCCTCTTCTCTTTTGGGCCATTTGTTTGGCATATGCTTCGACAGCTTCCATAATAATAAAACAATTGTTGTCCCATTTGGTTGGAGGCTGCACGCAATATTTTGGTCCCTATTTGAATAATTGACGAAGGTTGGGTTGTCAACAATAGAGAAGCCACCTGTGATTATTTTATCTTCAAGTTGGTAGCAAAATGATGAGCCTTGGCAGCCATAAGTAGAGGAACTTACATTGTCAGCTGCCAAGTCAACGTTCTGCAGTACGTTCTAATAATTGAACAACCTGGATGAAACGTTTTCGTATAGGAAAATGAAATCGTTGGTTCCTGAAATTTGAAATATTGTGGGACATTTGGGGAAACTGATTTTTGTATGAGAATGTTACATTAATTTGAAAGTGATGAATTTCACTTTCTGGTTGTATGTATCAGATTGTTTTCTATCAGAAGTACTTTCCTTTCAAATATTGGCCATATCCTAATCTACAAAACTTGAGCCTGTTGATGGCTTCTGAAAATAATTATTTCATGTATAAACTTGCCGTGTATGTCCACATTGCATTCAACTATAGAATGTCTTTTTTATTGTAAATGTGTGATGAGACTGTAAAATACTTGAAGTGTGCAGCGTGTATGAAGCACACCTTAAAGAGTAACCTGCTGTTACCTGCTGCCAGCAGCACGTGTTTCGTGGACATATATTTTTTATTTTATTTTTTTGGTTATAAGCCAGACGTCTACATCAATAAACTTGATTGCTTGATGTGCAGATTATGCAGCGTCAACATTAAAAGGAAGATTAGTGACAAACACGTTGATCAAGACATTAAACCAAACTTGGCTAATAACACTTCCTTGTAGACTACCACCAACATGTAAACATTACAAAGAGTATAAGTCCTTATTTACCCCTGAATTATATCTCTCTTATGACTTACCGATCCACTTAATAAAACTATTTACAAATTTCAGATGCAATCATTTTAGAATCATTACAGTTGAAACAGGTAGACATATCAATGTTCTGTATCTTCTTCAATTCCCTTCATAAATCCTTAATTGAAAATGAATATCATGTTCTCATTATATGCCCAAGATATGCTCAAATTATCTAACATTCTTATCATTAATGTCATCAACAGATAAAAATATTATAATATCTATTGGAAAATGTTTGCTGAAAATTAGGTGTATAAGAGAAGAACCTTTGGTTGTTTAAGCATAAGTATTTGACTATTTATTTATACACATTACATGTGTCATAATCATGGCTACATACATAGCATACCTGCATGCATGCAGGTTCTATAACATGTATATATTTTTGTATTATGGGCTTGAGGCCTAATTACTGAATAAATCTTGTCTTGTCTTGTGGACTTCCATTATCTATGATGTGCAAGCCAGTAAGTTCTGTCTCAATACCCACATGAATCACCCTGTTATCTGTTATACCAATTGTTTGCAATTTGAAAGGCCTACCCTTTTTCTATTTCAATGAATACTTACAGCATGTAATTCTGATTGCAAACTATTTTCTGAGATTCTGCTGTCTGAAGTCTTATATGCTTATCGGTGCACGAGCGACCTTTTCAAAACCCAGAATGAGTACTGGATAAGAGCTGATAGTTTCAAAGGGTTGGTGATTATTCTTTGCATAATTTTACATCCACAACACTTAAGGGAAACCGCTGTGTACTGTGCTGGAAGTGGGGAGGGGTGGGGGGGGGGGGGGTGTTGGGGGGTCCTGGGTTTGGTAGGTATAATTTTGACATATCTCTTAGCCTTACGAATAAAACGAGAATCCCAGTACATATTCAAAAGATCGCGAATAACGCGAATAATTTTTAAACATCTCACAACACAAGTTATCTGCTCCTGGATATGTTAGCTGTAGAACTTGCCCCTTTAACCTCATCATGTGTAAACGGTGTATTTATATCTGAATTAACATCAGCCAAAGCCCATGAATCAGTAACATCTAGAAATCATAAGGTTTTCAGAACTGCTTACATTCTCAATTGCCATAACAACCACTTAGTGTTCATCAGTTATGCCCACATAAGAAATAGAAAATCTGTTATGAGTGCCACAGTAATTACAAGTGACAAAATCTTCAAAAGTCGATTATTTTGTTCGTTCAATTTTTGCTTTAGTTGGTAGCATTTAACCCCCCAAAACGATGAAAGAACAAATTAATCGACAAATTAACCGTTTTTCGCGGGGATTTCTTGAAGGGATTTGATGCTTTTATTTTAATCTGATTCAGATTGACAGTTGTCACCGAATGTATATTTGCATCAGTTGTTTTTTAAGATATGTGAACATAATTCATTAACTATTAGGGATATTGTAACGAGTCAAGGGTGAACATATATCACTACTTAACGATACTTTCTAGATTGAGTAGTATAAAATGAAGGCTCACAAATGATCACACCTTTGCAAAAATGTCAAATGCACAGATTAACCATCGTTAGATTGGGTCGTCAGAATCTGGTATATTCTGGGTGTACGTTTAGGGTTTAGAGCAGGAACAATTGCACAACTCATCAGCGATGCAGCAACACTGGATGTCCAGCGAACATCAACACCACCGACAACACCATCTCCGGCTACAGGGACAATGATAACCATCGTATGGATGGGAATCAGATAAAAGCTGACGAGTTCTTAGCCAACATGAAGATGAAATTCTAAGATTCAAGACCAGTTTGTGCTATTTACAAGGAAGAGTTATCAGGTGTGTTATGAAAATATATATGCTCGTCAAAATAATTAGGGAACACGGATATTTTGTAGCACTGTTCATTCGATTCCTTTTAAATTTGGTAAAGGGCCTCCTGATCGGCGGCTAACGTACTGATATTGAAGACTACCCTTACTCAAGTGACTTCATGACCAGAACAAAGAATTTGAGTCATAATGGACTCGTCAACGTTCATTTTGACCAGCACTGATTTTCATGGAAATTTTTGTTGTAATCTCCTCCTCACAGCTGCCGTAAAAATGGAGATCGTGCATTTGCTCACTTATTCTCAGTTATGCCCACATAAGAAATAGAAAATCTGTTATGAGAGCCACAGCACGAGCCACAAGGAATTTTTGTGCGAATTTTGGGTTGATAAAGGCAGGTCGCTATGAAACTGCATCACTGTGTTCAACATGCCACAACGTCGACACCTCACGATTGAAGAACGAGCCAGAGCTATTGGGTGGCTAAATGAGAATGTTTCACAGCGGGAAGCTGCTCGAAGGTTAAATGTTAGTCCATTCGTCATTTGCAGAATACGTCAGCGATTCCAACAAACACAGACAGTACGTGATAGACCAAGGTCAGGACGCCCTCGTGTGACAACAGGAAGAGAAGACCGGTGCGTCGTTGTTGAAGCATTGAGGAGGAGAACAGTCACAGCAAACCATCTTCGAAGGCAACTGAGGGCTGTTACAGGAACAAATGTCAGTGACCAAACCATAAGAAACCATATGAGGGAAAGAAACATCAGGCCCCGACGTCAAGTCGTTAGACCGCTTCTTCTTCCGCGTCACAGAGCAGCCAGAGACGCATGGGCACGGCAACACCGACAGTGGAAAAGACAACAGTGGTCAGCAGTTCTTTTTTCTGACGAATCTCGGTTCTCACTGCAGCATAATGACGGTCGTGTTCTTGTCTACATACGGCGTGGGGAACGTTTTGCTGACGTCAACGTCCGTGAGCACAACCGCTTTGGTGGTGGTAGTGTCATGGTGTGGGCCGCCTTCTCATTTCATCACAGAACCAATCTGTACGTCATCAACGGGAATTTGAATGCTGTTCGCTACAAGGATGTGATTCTGAGACCAATGGTGATTCCTTGTCTTCATCGAATAGGCCCACAGGCGGTTTTCCCAGGATGACAAGGCTAGACCTCATCGTGCACGCATAGTCACTGACTTTCTGGGACAAAACAATGTTACTCGCATGGAATGGCCAGCATATTCTCCTCATATGGCACCCATTGAACACGTATGGGATCTGTTAACGAGACGTGTTAGGGAGAACCACCGTCCACCTCAAGATATGCGCCAGCTTGCTCAATGGCTGAGTTTGGAGTGGCATGCTTTCCCACAGAACACACTACAGACATTAGTGACATCCATGAGGCGTCGTTGTGTTGCACGTGTGGCTGCTAGGGGCGGACACACTCGTTTCTGACTTTTCTCTCATGGCCTGGATTTCCAATTTTGACCCCAGTGACATTATTGACATCAACACTTGATCACGTTATGAAATGTAGTGGATTGTTCATGATTCTTTCTTACTGTATACTCGGTCATTATTGAATTTACTACACATGTCTTCATCTTCTGTTCGTTTTTTATTTTAAGTGCAAACATATCAGTGTTCCATATCTTCTTTTGAGTAGTATACAAGAAAATATATATTGTATTGTATGAGGTTAAATGTCATAAACGTGGAGATACAAATTCTTCCATTCCACACGAAATAAGTTTATTCATATAGAACATTTCTATGTAATACTCAGATCTGAGTCAGCTTCAGTATACCGACTGCATCTCTCAGATTATTGGTCTAATTACATTGCTGCAGAAAAATGTATATTGATGTGTATATGAAAGGAATTGGTGTTTTTGGTTAAGGACTTAAAAGAATATAACAAACCCATAAGGTTATGTTTTAGAGATTATAACAATCCACTGCTTCCATATCTTAAGCAATAGAAGCCGGCATTCGGAGAACCCCCTCCGAGGCGCACTACACACAGAGAAACATCAGGGGACAAGTAGATTCAAAGTACAGAGGTCAGCATCAAGTTAAATACAGATTGGAAAACAGCTCTCCGAAACTGTCAGTGGGTTCTTAAGGGTTACATGTAATTATGAATAACAGCGAGTGAGTGAGTAAGTTAACACTAGTTTGTGGATAATAAATCACATTATGTTGGTGTACACCAAAAATGTAATCGATTTTAATTACTGCATATAGTTATCCCCAAGTTTCATCTTTTCATTCTCTGCGTAATCCAGGTCTCTGTTTCCATCTTGTCGTTCCTTCATCATCAGACTTTCTCCTCGCTCTTCGGCCCTCTTGGCGTCCTCTTCTCTCTTCATCACATTAAACACATCCCATCTGGTTGACAACCACCCTCGCCGGAACACAAGCCTTGTGAACGCTGACACAGATATGATGGCCACAAAGTTGACTATCATCGCCAGGGTCTTGAAAGGAAACAATTGGCCATCAGCTTCTGTGTAAAAGGGGAAATGAATAAAAGCTGGGATTCCAAGCAGGGCGTCCCCAGCGGCCACTCTCAGAAAGAGGCTGAGGGCGTAGCCGGTGAGCGCGCCGTAGGTGTTGGTGAACCCGATCCAGAGAACGCAGGTGAATGGGGGGAAGAGGATGACGTACACTAGGTCAGAACACAAGTAGAACAGTCCATAAACTGACTTCACCAGGATGGCAAGGACGCACGACAACGTACCAGTCACCACTATGCCAACTCTCAAGACCCACATCACTTCTCGGTCGCTGGCCTAAGAATGATATCCATATTGACTATTAGAAAGCAATAATAAATATATAGATATTTTTCAAATGCATTAATGACATTCTCAGGATGTTTCATTGACCTGATTCAGTAATAACAACCTCTCCACCGTTTCTTGTTTCTTACAATACGTGCGATTTTATTTTTGTAGAGACGCATTTTCTAACCCACCTGTGGACGTAGGACATCTTTGTAGATATTCTTAGCAAAGACGGTTCCACTTGCAAGGACAGAGGAGTCGGCAGATGACATGACAGCAGCAGCCACCACACCAAGTCCCAACACTGCCACCGGAAGTGGACACAAGTAATTGAGCACCATGGGAAGGATAAAACTGTGGTATTCAGTAGGTATTGGTACATCGCCTGTGTAGGATGTGGCATTCCAGTCTGGGGGAAATCATAAAACATAAACGTATCTGATAAAACTGATAACAATTAACAACATTTATTCAATTTGATGTGAGTCATATATATATAATTCATAGATAGATTTGTGGTAACTGTCAAATTATTATTGACATCCTAACCTGCTGCTGCCCCGACTACTCCGATAGCTGCTGGCGGTATGGCGAAAAGTAGGCTACAAAACGATGATACAATGGAACTTGTACGAGCAACACTGGCCGTCTTGCAAGCCAACACCCTCTGGTAAAAAACCTGCATAAAGGATTAAAAGTCCACATTAACACAAGCAGATACAAAATATAGATATGCCCTTGGTATCCTCATCATAATGATTATCCCATATCATATCATGTTATGTATAGCCTTTTATCAAAGTGAAAAGGTCAGATATACAGATCGTATTCATATAGGTGGATGCAACAGTCTTAGAACAAAGCAAGCAAGATAAATACCTGCCAAGCTAGACCTCCAAAGATGAGCTGACAACAGAGGTCTGCATATATACCAATCATGTTTGTGGGCAGCTCTCCCAGCCACGTGTCCTGGACTCGTGAGAGGTCGACAGATGGGTGGAAGAAGGAAAAGGGACATGCCACGATCTGAAATATATACAACACCCTCAAATAAGCGAGTTGAGAATCTATCGTTTTCTACGGTTAACGTGAGGATCAGATCCAAGTGACAGAAAGTGAGTGAAACTATGTAAAAATGTATGTTGTTGGCAGCTGGTTATTGTTTTAGCTTGATACATCATATGCTACTCACAAAACTCCACCCTTGGACAATAAATTTACATTAAATGAATGACAGTAATACTTTAAAATGAATTTATAACCAAGTTACCGACAAAGTGTGTTTACAGATTGAAGTGAAAGCTCTCTTGTGCCACATTGTAATTACTTACAACAGTGTATCGACATTGTAAACTCTGAGGGGATATGAAGGTAATGAGGCAAGTGGGGTGGATTTGGGGGGTTTGTTGAGCTTATTGATGAAATATATTAACTGTCAACACCTGCTTGATTTTCTTATGACGTCCATCACAAACCATCATTCTCTACCAGTCCCAAAAACAAAGCGTATACAACCCACGTAGCCTGTAATTATTCGTAACGTTGAACCACTGTGCCCTACACTATGCTGTTGACTGAACAGCCCTACATCTCATCATGAGGCAAAGTCAAATGTTTCTTGGCGATATCAGATTGATGATGTAATGTCTTCATGTAATATCCTTACCAGTCCCACGCAAAGACAAATGAGCTGGATGACATCAGTGTAGGCCACAGAGTATAGTCCCCCGATGAAGGTGTAGCACACGGCCACACAAGTGGACACGATGATGGACAAGACGGGGTCCAGATCCAGGATAAGGGACATGGTGGACCCTGTGATGAAGCACACAGGTTAAGGTCAGTAAGGTCTCGAGCTCGAGAGTTTAACCAAAGTAGTAAAATAAAACGTTCACGTCAGAGAATAAACAGTCACAATTATCCATCGGAACAGAATCCATGGCAAAATAACATTGACAATTATGTGGATGGATCACTGAAAATAAGTCATGACACCCGGCAATGTTCAATATATCCTTACAAAATGCGTCTAAACAGCTGTGGTAGACAACCAAACCACTCACTAAGCTGGTGGGATTTTTTTTTTAATTAAATTGTCATAGATATACCTAAGGCTGACAAGATGGCGGCTGACCAGAAGACATCTCCCATCAGCTGCGGGAAGAAGAGAAGACTTCCGGCACGATCTCCCAACTTGGCCTGGATGGGGTCGAACATGGTTACATATCCTCCTCTTCTCATCTTAGGCGCGTAAAACACTCCAGCTGAAAAATAATATGTATGTATACAGTTGTGAGACAGTTTAAATAAACTCTCCTGAACAATTTAAATGTTGAAATTTAATCAACATGCATGTTTAAAAATCTATTCTTTTTTCTAAAAAAAACCCTTTATGTTTGCTCCGTTCATTAAACATGTTTGTCACATTCAATAATTACACATAATAAATGATATTAGTCCAGGGCCAAAATGAAAGTACAAGATCCACGACAAATGCAACTGTTAACATTCATTCGTTCATCAAATAATTACATTTCGGTATATTTTCACTGTGTTTTGTTAATTGAAATCCCCTTACCAACGCCAATGGAAATGGAATACAGAATGGGAGCATTGGTCCAGATGAGGCCGCTAAATGCCATGGCTTCCGCTGTACCATTAATGTAGCCTCCCCCAATGTTGGTGGCTGTAGAAGTGTGAACATTCATCACCATGATTCATGTATAATCATGTAATATAGTAAAATAATCGTATTTAGCGTAACTTAATGTTGACCGTCCAGTAATGCAGATGAGCGAACTACTTTGTTTTCAAGAGCAATCTGAGAAAAGTAAGGTTGCATGTGAAAACATTTGCACAAAACCTACAATCTTTTTCTGAAATGATGACCCCTACGATTTCTTTCTGCACAACATAGATTTTTGCCAGGACATCCAAAATGCACAGCGCACAACTGGTTGCTTATGTACAACCTGAGACAATAAGAAGAGTTATGTCCGGGAAAAGTAACTTCTTTTTTTAATCAAACCCCAGCTACCAGAATCTCATATCACAATTTATGTTTATGTTTGAACTTTGTGCTAGCTGGTGTATGCATGTACCCTTTTAGATAACGATCAATTAGTACTTTGCACGTGACTGTCAGGGTAAAAGAAAGTAGTTCCTGCACGTGACTGTCAGGGTAATAGTAGTTCCTGCAGGTGACTGTCAGGGTAAAAGTAGTTCCTGCACGTGACTGTCAGGGTAATGGTAGTTCCTGCAGGTGAATGTCAGGGTAACAGTTGTGCCTGCAGGTGACTGTCTGGGTAATAGTAGTTCCTGCAGTTGACAGTCAGGGTAACAGTAGTTCCTGCACGTGTCTGTCAGAGTAATAGTAGTTCCTGCACGTGACTGTTGAGGTAATAGTAGTTCCTGCACGTGACTGTCAGGGTAATGGTAGCTCCTGCGGGTGAATTTCAGGGTAATAGTAGCTCCTGCACGTAACTGTCAGGGTAATGGGAGCTCCTGCACGTAACTGTCAAGGTAATAGTGGTTCCTGCACGTGACTGTCAGGATAATGGTAGTCCCTGCAGGTGACTGTCTGCGTAATAGTAGTTCCTACAGTTGACAGTCAGGGTAATGGTAGTTCCTGCACGTTACTGTCAGAGTTATAGTAGTTCCTGCACGTAACTGTCAGGGTAATGGTAGCTCCTGCACGTAACTGTCAAGGTAATAGTGGTTCCTGCAAATGACTGTCAGGGTAATGGTAGTCCCTGCAGGTGACTGTCTGCGTAATAGTAGTTCCTGCAGTTGACAGTCAGGGTAATAGTAGTTCCTGCACGTTACTGTCAGGGTTATAGTAGTTCCTGCACGTGACTGTTAAGGTAATAGTAGTTCCTGCACGTGACTGTCAGGGTAATGGTAGCTCCTGCAGGTGAATGTCAGGGTAATAGTAGCTCCTGCACGTAACTGTCAGGGTAATGGTAGCTCCTGCACGTGACTGTCAGGGTAATGGTAGCTCCTGCACGTAACTGTCAAGGTAATAGTGGTTTCTGCACGTAACTGTCAGAGTAATGGTAGTTTCTGCACGTGACTGTCAAGGTAATAGTAGTCCCTGCACGTGACTGTCAAGGTAATAGTAGTTTCTGCACGTGACTGTCAAGGTAATAGTAGTTTCTGCGCGTGACTGTCAGGGTAATGATAGCTCCTGCAGGTGAATGTCAGGGTAATAGTAGCTCCTGCACGAATGAATGAATGAATGAATGAATTTCTTTATTTCCTCCAGAGTTGAAGCCGAAGATTTTACATGGGCAAGTACATTATTTACAATACATCAATGAAATTACTTGACTATATACAAAGAAATCATGTTATACACTGCTATGAATAAACAATTTACAATGTACATTTTGAGAGCAGTAAGGTATCTAGTAGATATACATAAGGTATTTCTTTAAATTCCATATGAAGTGGCAGAAAGACAGTATGATGCTTTGCCAAGTATCGTAATCAAGTTCGTTTGTCAATTCATGGACATCTGCACCGAGAAAGAAAGAAAGCATATCATCATCGTCAAGCATATCTGTCAGGGTAATAGTAGTTCCTGCACGTGACTGTCAGGGTAATGGTAGCTCCTGCAGGTGAATGTCAGGGTAATAGTAGCTCCTGCACGTAACTGTCAGGGTAATGGTAGCTCCTGCACGTAACTGTCAAGGTAATAGTGGTTCCTGCACGTAACTGTCAGGGTAATGGTAGTTTCTGCAGGTGACTGTCAAGGTAATAGTAGTCCCTGCACGTGACTGTTAAGGTAATAGTAGTTCCTGCACGTGACTGTCAGGGTAATGGTAGCTCCTGCAGGTGAATGTCAGGGTAATAGTAGCTCCTGCACGTAACTGTCAGGGTAATGGTAGCTCCTGCACGGAACTGTCAAGGTAATAGTGGTTCCTGCACGTAACTGTCAGGGTAATGGTAGTTTCTGCACTTGACTGTCAAGGTAATAGTAGTTTCTGCGCGTGACTGTCAAGGTACTCGTAATAGTAGTCCCTGCACGTGACTGTCAGGATAACAGTAATACCTACAAGAGGCTGTCCTGTCCATTGCAGAACCTACTTGTAACTGTAAGGTTAATGGTTGTACTTGGAAGGGATCATCATGGACACCTTTGTACCGACTCTCAATTCGTACATGCCTAACTATAGATAGCTTTGGTCCTTACCCGTAATGGTAAAGAACGACAGCCATAATCCTATGCTTCTATTGGCCACGAACGAGTTTTCGGCACTGGTACTTCTGCTTTTCCTGGCTGCGATAATGCCGATGACGAGGATGAGGATGTAGAACACGATGACGGAGATGAGTCCGGGAATGTTCACGGCCATGATGACGTACACGATGTCTTGGCGTAGTACACGTGCACACTTCTGGTTGAAGCTGGAAATGTTTCCATCTGAGATTGCATCTCATTTGGTCAACATTGCCATGCCAGCTACAAGATCATCCTAGCAATACCTCGTGCTCAATACAGAATACGGAGTTGTGCAAGCTCCGCACTCTAATACCACTAAACCTGAAAACGTACACGTGGATTCTCCTCACACTAATATACTGCTCCCTACACATGGTACATAGTATATAGATACTTTTCACGTGGAAGTCCATAAATCGCAGAAACAATCATTATAAAAGAGGTAGTATAATTGAAACAATATTACCACAAAATACAAATATGTGATGGTTTTTTATGTTTAGTTTATCAACATGTCATGATCATATTTACTTCCTCCTGGGTGATCGAATCAGTAGCTACTGACCTCTACGAGGTTCTACAAAGAATAGCATATAAAAAACGTCAACGCCATCAGTGTCGATTATCTGCCGAAATAGATTTCAAAACACTCACAATTAACACAAACCAACTACTGTGTCACGGCCACACAAGTCTCCTTCGTGTCGTACAGTGCCACTCTTCTTCAGCTGAAAACGACAGTATTCAGATGTAGACAACAGATTAGGTATCTATGGAGGGTTATTCTATCAATTCGTTCTTGAATTTGAATAATATCTGTAATGTTTGTCTCAAATCTGGCCCCTTTACGATTAACATATCTGGCCTATTCGCCAGTACGAATGAACACCGTCTCCAAAGCGCTCAGGGAATTGAGATACACCGACTGTCTTTTGAAATGTGGGATAGTCTCACTGTAGATTATCAAATGTCTAAGACGTGCTCCACATTTCCCCCAAATTAAACTTACAAATCGTGAGATTACTGAAGTTTTGTTCCAAGCTGCATTTAATCCAACTAACTCACTGTCGCTGTCAACTCCTTAGCTATGCACACAGCTTACTTCTTATGTGGAGGCCATATATGAAGCATTTCAATCACTCGTTACAAATAGTATTAAATACCTGGTATATAACTGCTATTGTTGTGCTGTAGCTGCCTGGGGCTTATGTTCCGACCTCACAACTAACGTTGTTATAGTGTACCTATACCTATACCTTGTGTACCTATACAAAGACTTATATTCAAGCCAAACTGTTCTTGTTATTCTTGTACTTCTACGTAAGTCTTATATTCATATTGTTCTTACGGGGGAGTCCTCTAATGCCTACTGTGACAAATGCCTACAGTCTAAAACAAACATTATATGCTTCAGTGGTTTTACATGTGATACCCTGCTACCTCCCTGCAGAGTTGAACTGGCCCATTTTAATGTACTATTGCCTACAGTGACAAATGACAAACACTAGCAAATGATATTTTGTGTTCTTTCTTTATTCATACATTTCTTCTGATTTGTCATACATCATACATCATCCATAGTTTTATTTATCATATTTCATGTACATTATGATTCAAACATCACATTCACACTCCCATTTTATCACACATCTTTTATTATCTATATATACATTTCATTCAGTTTCATTTATCATACTGCATGTACATTATATAAATATCAGACTAACATTCATCATATATCATCTCATACATCATCCATATGTATCATTCATTTTCATTTATCCTATTTCATGTGTCACAGAGTTGAACAAACTAGTTGCTTTGTTAGCCCAGTTTTACAACACATCCAGCTGCATCAAGGAACTGGGGGAGACTTGATACCCAGTCGAAGCTGCTCCTGTAGCCTTTCTAGTCTCTGGTTGATCTCTAGGTAGATTCTCTTGCGGGGTGGTGGACGGAGATACTGAGCAAGCTTGTTTCTGTCCGTCTTCTCTAGTCTCTGGATCACTTTGATGAAGGCAAAAATGTTCGGATGGGCTCTCAAATATTTTCACAATCCAAGTAACATTTCTAAGGCATTAATTAGTCTGTGTTTACAGTGTAGGCATAAGTGAACACTAAGTAGAGTAGACCATTTGAGTGCAGGGGTGCGTGAAACAGTGTGTACACTAAAACAACAACTTTTGTAGGCATTAGTCACTGTAGGCATTTGTCACTGTAGGCATTAGTAGACCTCACCGTTCTTACCTGACTACTATTGTTTTTCTTGTACTTCTACCTAAGCAATATATCCATCCATATTGTTCCTTCCGGTCTACTATGTTATTCTTGTACTTCTACGTAAGCCTAAAATTCAAATTGTACTCAAAAAACTACAATTGTTATTCTTGTTGTTCCTACCTGACCACTATTTTTATTCTTGTGTATCTTCCTAAGCCTTATGTTCATGTTGTTCCTACCTGACCACTATTTTTATTCTTGTACATCTACCAAAGCCTTATGTTCATGTTGTTCCTACCTGACCACTATTTTTATTCTTGTACATCTTCATAAGCCTTATGTTCATGTTGTTCCTACCTGACCACTATTTTTATTCTTGTACATCTACCTAAGCCTTATGTTCATGTTGTTCCTACCTGATCACTACTTTTATTCGTGTACATCTACCTAAAGTACTGTCGGGAATGCTAGAAAACTGCTTTTGTGGCTTCATTTAATAAATACGAGTCATAGGACTATAAAAAGAACATATATAAAAATAACACGAATTGCCTGGATCTAGCCTGTCCTAACTGATACCGTGATTACCCTTAAAATGTACTTTTACAGGTAAAATGATGATAAACTTAGAAAATATTCGTGTGTTGTCATGCATGTATAACCACTGGCTGTTCGCTATGGCGTCACAGCCGGTGAAACTTGAATGCGCGGGCGATGAATTTGGCTCAGGATGCTTTCTTACCAGTCGTGTGTCAAAAATATCTAAAGAGAATTATACATGATCTGTTTTGGGGTTCTATTTAAGTTGTCAAGTTACATATCGGGAGTGAGAATGAGTCATAAGTCCGATGTAATGGTGTATCGGTCAATGAGGAAGTCACCATGGCTGAAAGTTAGAAGCGTGCACTACTTCGAAGCACTCATGTCAGGCAGAGCATACTATATTGTCAATTTACAGCATGTCAATAATATATTATTCATCCAAGAGTGGATTAACTAAATTTTGTTTTTACTTTCCATCGTAATTTAAGTGTATGGAAAGTACTGGAAACAAGCAAAAGTTACAAATCATGTGGATATCTATAAATAGATTGTCACCAGTTGCATTGCCCACGTTTTGTGTCTGGTGCTCTAAGCAAAACCAATATAACCTGAAAGGCATAGAGTTAGTGGGCCCTTTTAATGAATAAACATAAAAGAATAGTTGATAAAATTAAAGCAGTACATTATTTCCCCCCACTGCTACATTGGTTTTATTATGTAATAAATGAATATATTTTATTTGGGCATCTGGAACATAGGGTTGGGCATGTCACCAGGGATAAATCTAGACCTGCTCAGAGGCTGATATTCAGCCCCAAATCTGCAGCAGATGTCAGTAAACTGTCCCTCATTAAACGTTTTAACATATCTATGCCATCCTAAAATAATGCAGAATGTAAGGAATTATAACTATTAGTTATCCCAATCTGTTTGCATATGGCAATCAGTTTGGAATTCTAAAGTTAGATAAAAATGCCTGGTCAAACTTCCAGAATATTGGACTTAACGAACAGCGAGTAATTAGGTACATGTACACTACTGCCTAGAAGTTCATTCCCCTTACAAGCATGGGCAACGCGTTACGCAATCCGTGTGCACCCCGTTGGTCACTCGTGTGGAACCCGTCCGACTCGCGTGTGATACCCGTGTGCACCCCGTTGGTCAATCGTGTGGAACCCGTCCGCCACGCGTGTGATACCCGTGTGCAACGCGCTGAACACGGGTGTGCACCCTGTTCGTCACTCGTGTGGAACCCGTCCGACTCGCGTGTGATACCCGTGTGCACCCCGTTGGTCACTCGTGTGGAACCCGTCCGCCACGCGTGTGATACCTGTGTGCAACGCGCTGAACACGGGTGTGCACCCCGTTCGCCACTCGTGTGCAACGCGTGACACACTCATTACAGGGGGAACAAACTTTTGACCAAAGGAGGACCTGAGTTTAGCTGAACTTGGAGGTGGTAACAAGGAGATATTTTTTTTTATTTCCTGACGAAAAATGTTAATACACATTTTATTATATGTACTTGCTGATGTCTCATTTTAAGATGTGATATGATTACTGTTGTTGCTTCTACATGATGTTTTGCGATGGTGTTAAGATTACTTTATGATGGTTTGGTCTCTTTGTCTCAGCTCCATAGCCATGACGCTGGGAAAGGGCAGCATTTAATTAATGAGAGTAGGTTATATCATGGAGGATACACTTTGGGGAGAGGGTTCTACTAATTACCGTACCACAGGAAGAGACCTGTAGACGTGAGCGTGGGGTTGTGTATAAGATGGCCGTTGCATAATGGCCGCCAGGAGAGGTGAACATTGAGTGTTGTTTTGACGGGCTTGTTGAATAAAATCCCAGCGCTACTGTCAATATATCTTCTACTTACGATTTACAATATATATTTTTTCAACGTACATTAATGGTTTACTAGTCATATCTTTTAGAGTATTTGTCAATTATGTTGAGCTAAGAAGCAATAATTGTAATTTGTGGTGACATGTCAAATTAAAACATGAAGTCTCATTTAAAACATGAAGTAAGTACGATAGTAAAGAATAATATTCAAATCGCATTAAAATACAATGATACATATGTAACCCTAAAGCCTGTGTTCCACCTTCAGAGCCAGGAGGAAAAACGAATAAACAAAGGGAAGAAACTTGCCCTTACTTATATGTAGAGACATCATCTGAATGTGACTATATATGTAAATGTTACGATACTGTACTTATCTTCACGAATTATTAAAAAATCTTAATCATCTACAAAATCTAATATGGTATTGTATCTATAGCCTTCGTCTCCGTGAACCTTATTTAAATCAAATTTGTGATATAAATTCATTCTTTGGCATCCATAAATGAATTGTTGATATCCAATAATAAATAAATAGTAATTATTTGATAATAAATTCAGTTATTGATATCTAAAAACCGATTTGCTATATTAATAAACATTTCATGATAAAAATCAAATCAAATTTGTGATATTAATTCATTCTTTGGTATCCATAAATGAATTCTCCCTATTGGGCAACAATGCAGTTTACCGGGCGCAGCCCGAGCTCTTCCATTCAGTCAATTACCGCGCTATAGTGCTACCGCTGTCTCGCTATACCGTTACCGTGCCTCACGCTCCGGTGATTCTCGCTTCACGATCCAACACCCGTTTTCGGTCTTAGGGAAACTTACACGTCTTTACGATCCAACACCCGTTTTCGGTCTTAGGGAAACTTACACATCTTTACGATCCAACACCCGTTTACGGTCTAGGGAAACTGACACGTCTTTACAATCCAACACCCGTTTTCGGTCTTAGGGAAACTTACACGTCTTTACGATCCAACACCCGTTTTCGGTCTTAGGGAAACTTACACGTCTTTACGATCCAACACCCGTTTTCGGTCTCGGGGAAACTTACACATCTTTACGATCCAACACCCGTTTTCGGTCTAGGGAAACTTACA